CATCAGTCATGCTTGTTCAAATAAAGCAGTAAGTTTGTTTCTCTGCTAGTTACTGACCCCAAAGTCATGAGTAAGGGATCGTGAATAATGTGTAAAGGCTGTAACTGGTTCAGAAAACCTTTAATTGGCTAATTAAAAAAAGCCCTATAAGGGGCTGCAGAGAATCACCCGAAATGTTCCTAATGCAGACTGACGTTTTGATTTTCCCCAAAGTTTGAAGCAAGACTTTTGGTATGATCACAGTTTGAGTTAGAGAGGGTAGAATTACTTTCTTCCAACAACTCATTCATTCCTCCAAAGAGTGCTGACACAATCAGATCTCTCATCAGGGTTTAATGCTAAGTCTCATAGTCCTGAAGCAGCACAAAAATCTCTATTTCCTGAACGTTTCACTGACCTGTGGTGTTAAAGACTTGCCAACTAAGACAAACCATTAAATGAGCAGGGAACCACAACAGTAAAAATACTGCATGAGGCAGCCATGTCTGGTAAGACCTCAGGGTCTAAATCCAAAAATATTTTATCATCTTCAGTGGAACTACTGCACTTTACAGAGGGGCGGATTGAATTCCCCATAGTGGAGGTAGAATTTGAGACACACCACACATGTGGACCTGGCACCAAGTTTCCGTGTGATCCATGCATGTACAGGGACATCTTTGCAGTGCTCTGGCTGGTGCGTATTGCTCTCAGGACAGCCCAGCACTGACTGCGACTTGCAGAGCACACGTTCTCTGCATCCATCCGCTCACGCTTCTCCAGTACTTCAGCAAAATTAATGCTGTTGCTCTTCTGCAGTTTTCTTACCTCTACACTGTCGAAGCAGGTTTAATTATATGCAAAAACCAGCTATCTATACTTGTAGACTTTAGATTAAATTATTAGTCAAGCTGGGGCTTAATCTTCTAGGGTTACAAGCAGAGAGGGGAGTTTTGTCCTGTTTGTGGCATGACAGAATTACAAGGTAATTAAGGCCAGAAAGTGACCTTGGGAGGTCGTTGAGCCCAATCTCCTGCTCAAAGCGAAATGCATCTGTAGTGTTTAGGCACCACCTGGGTTGCAACACCGGCACTGGAGAGAAGGGCCCACTTCAGCGTACCCGGGTTGTGACATGTTTTGTGTTGGGGGCTGTGCTTTACCATCATATCAGCATTATGATTTTTAGCACATCCTTACAATAAAAATGTCATTTTTGCTGATGACTTTCTTCAAACATCCACTTTAATTCCCTTCTAAAAAAAGATCTCATTTATGCATATTTTAAAGATAAATGTATTGACAGTTTGGTGCAAGTTTTCTCTGTTCAAAATTTCCTCAAATTGTCCTACAAATAGCTTAGACTTCTCAGTGTATTCCTCCTGCTCTCCATTAACTCTCTGAGTGTGCATAATCAAAAGATTTCTTTTCATTACCAGCAAAAAGGATAGGTTAAAGTAGAGAGACATTTCTGAATGCAGTTGTATTTTTCATTTTATTAGCAGCCTCCCTCATCCTTCTGCCAAAAGCTCACCATAATGTGCGTATCCAGAGGGGTTAAATAAAAAGCAAATATTGATTGTCTCAGGCTAAAGTTTGTACATTCGCAACTATAAAAGTGAAGCAGTGAGACAGATGGAGCCGCATCATGATATGAAGCATAAAGGTCAGGGAGTGAGCTGCGGAGTGGTTATATTCAACAGGGCTTCAGCGCTTAAGGAACAGGGATTGCTGCTGCTGACAAATACGCTAGAAACCTGTTTAGCTGCCACAAGCATGAATATATCCAAACAGAAGCATCTATCATCATTAGAATGATAACTCCAAATACATTTATTTCTTGTTTGGTTGGGCTTATTCTTGTTCTTACTCTTAATCCTCACAGACTTTGGACTCAGCCTGAGCATCGTTTGATTTTTATGGCTGGCTTCATTAGCTTTTAGTGCAATTTCAGTGGCTCGGTTACTAAATCAAATCCACTGTGATTGTGGTTGCATATGCTTCACAGGCCTCTTAAATACAGCAGATGACTTGGAGGCCCATTTCTCCTTTATTTTATGCATTTTGGACCAACAAATCCTTTTGATTTCTACCTTCTTTGTGAAGTTAGTGCTGTTGTATCTGCACAGACTGTTTGAATTTAGCAGTACAGAAACAAAGATGAAGACATTCTGCCTGGAGGAAAACCAGTGTCAAATATTCCTGCTTGGCTGTTCTTGTTGTCAGGACATCTTCATATTGCATTGCTTAGGCAGTTCCCGATGAGTGTCTCTATCAGAGCTCTATCTTGTTGTTTCCTTTTCCCCCCTTTTTTCCTCAGAGAACTATAGAAGTTTCTCTTTGGGGTTTTTTTTGGGGGGTGTGTGTGGAGGTTCCTTAACACATACAATGCTGGTTTCTTTTCATTAAGTTCACCTAGAAGAGGAATTAATTATTTACTGCCTTGTCATCAGAAAATGCATTTAGTATTCACTGGGTTAAACTTCTGGTATTTGCTGGCTTCCCCCTTCCCTGAAATATTTACCATTTCAACCACGGTGAAGTGTTAGCTGCATTAATAGGGGTATAGATTTAACCTGCAACAGTCCAGAGCCGTGGCCAAAGCAAATGCTTATTGTTAAATAATGGAGTATTTTCCATTCCTTTGCACAGCGGTCCTTTGGGATGTGAGGGCTAAACAGCAAATGGGGCGAGAGCCTTGCCGGCTCTAATAACACAGCTTGCTCTGGCAGTCCCTCACTAATCCACGTGTTATCGTAGAAAAGACAACTGACTCACTGTGAAGGAACTTGAAATACTTAAAGAAAAAAGCAAGAATTATTTAGCATTTTCCTCGTGCAGCAGAGTGCCGTGGCAGTAGCGGTGTGAGGTGTTGGAGGCCCGGGCTCTCTCTCCTCGCTCTCCCCCTGGGAGACTCTTCCTCACAGGTAACCGATGGATGGAGCCCATCTTCCAGCTTTTCCTCAGCTGCCTCCACGTCCCCGGTGGGAAGATTCGGGGGTGAGGAGGCCAGACCAGCGCTGTGTGCCCACTCCTGCCCCACCATGAGCCAGGCACCCTGTCCAAACGCCCCGGGGAGCCATCTCCTCCTGAGGGAGGAAGGGGCACACTGTTGGCGATGGACCCCGGGAAAACCCTGCTCTCCCTCCTGTGTGTTTAGGGGCCAAAATATGTGTGTGGCTGGGGGAGGCGAGGTCCTGCCTGCTGCGGTGGGCACACCGGGATGGACCCCCAGGCTGAGGGATGCGGAGCCGGGGCAGGCAGGGCCTTCCCTGGGGCTGCAGGCCCAGCCATGGAGCAGCAGCCCTGAGAGCCGAGCACATCTGTCAGCTCATTGTCTGCACCGAGCGGAGAACAAAGAGGAAAACAACAGAAAAAATGCAAAATGCATTTAAAAATACCCTTTCATTTCCCTTTTTGCCAGAAGCAGAAGTACTTAAATAACAGAGGACAAAAGCAGCTCTTGCAGAATTTCCAAGAATTGGGAAAAATAAAAAGTCCTGTGAGAAGGACTGGTTTTAGGAGACTTCCACCCCTGTCCTGCCAGACCTGGGTGCGCAGCCTCGGGACCCGGGCAGAAACGCGCCCGGAGCTGCCTTCCCCTTCTCCAACACGCACACCAGCCTTGCGGCTGCAGTGTTTCAAATCACATCAGTTCGTTGGGATACATGTCCCCTATTCATTTTAAAATCAAGCTTTCAGAAAGGTATGAGGCAATTTTTTTTTTTTCCCCATCAGTATTTTTCTTCTGTAAATTGCTTGGCTAAAAGGCTGAGCAGAATATAAAAATCAAAGGGGTAGAGATTAAAATCTAAAAAAAAAAAAAAAAAAAGTAATGAGGAAGGCATTGCTAAAAGATGTTTCTGGGAAGTGTTGGCGACAGTAGATTTAAGAAATATTTGTATCCAGATGAAGCAGGCAGTCTGTGTACAAATGTCCTGTCACTACTGATGTATTCTTATAGCACGGGGGTTACTTTGATGATATTCCATACAAGGGGATCAAATTTTATTTTCTTCTATAAATACAATTTTGTGTAACAGAATGGAGACGAGCTGCGTGGATGTAATTAAGAGCAGAAAGACTTCCAGTGGTTCAGCCGCAGAGGCTGTCGCACGTGCAATGAGGTGGTTTTACACTGAGTACGGTGAATATTTGGTGCTTTACAGTGACTTTAGGACTGCCGGTGGCAGTCACAGCCCGCAGTGGTGGCAGTGCTGAGGTGCAGATCCACAGTTGGAAGTGTTGGGCTTGTTCCTTGATCAGAGAAGATGTATTGCTAGATATCATGTGGTGAGGTTTCATGTTGCTTTTATAAGAAACGAGTATAAATGGTAAGAAGGCATGCATAACAGAAATCAAGCACCCGATATAGCTGGTTTCCCAATTACAGTAAGAATCCATCCCTGTTGAACTACTTCTAGAAAAACCTACGCTCCCGTGAGAATTCAGAGCATCTGCTGGTTTCACTGTGCAGCACCTCTAAAAATCAACCCTGAAGTGGCTCAATTTGCTTGCTTCCATCTCTATGCATCCCTTATGAGATCTGGATTTTTAGCTAGTTCTTCCTCCATCTCTTCGCCTGTTCCACCATTTACCACACTGGTGGGGAGCCATGTGGTCTTACCTTAAAATAGCAGAAAGTTTGCTGAGCTGCTGACCGAACGTGACCGTTAATGAGTTATCTGACATTCTGGTGCCCTCCATCAGTCAAGCTGAAATCAAGTCTGGTAGAAAGCAGATGTTGCACCTGTGCTAAATGTTTCATTCCTCAGTTCAGCTAATTTCTACAAGAACACTTAATTTTAATATGTACATTAGCTTTTTCCTGGCAAGAGAAGCGTTCAATAATGTATTTAAATTAAATGCTATTGCTTTTGGTTAGGACTGTGAAGGTGCTTGAAATTAAGTCCATTTTGAGAGCTTTGCTAACTTGATGCCCTTAATTTGTCTCCTTTTTTTTTAAGTCAAGCTTTATGATTAAAACAAAATACAGTGAGGTTAATATTGTGATATTCTTCCAGATGGGCAGCAGATCTGGGAAATGGAGGCAACAGTGGACAAAGATAAGAGCCAGCCTGTAAGTATGCAAAACATTGGATGTCCTCTCCTTGAGCTTCTCGGACAGCAAGTTGTATTCAAGGGGTAGTTTTCAAAGAGCTTCTCAAAAGCAGAAAGAGCAGCTATCTTACTGCTGTGGTGAACAAATGTCAAATGCTTCAGCAGTAAATGTGTTGCAAAAAGAAACTATTCATTTAGCAGTAACCCACAGAAAACTGAATAACGGCTAGATTTTGTGTTCTTGCAGAAGACTCTATTGTATCAGCCCGGTCCTCTGCAGGATGCTGGCTGTCCTGACTTCCTTTCGCCTGTATGGAAGTCTTGGGTGCTCTGTACTTTGCAGGACAGGACTTGTACTATAGTATTTAAAATGAACGTCGGTCTTTCAAGGGAATGAGCCTCTTTGTTCACTTTGCTTAATGGGACCTTACTGTAGTCGTTCAGTGCATTTAGGAGCTGGCGCTTACATTGCCATGGGCCATGCCTGCCCTTGCGGAAGAGAACGGGACACTTGCTGTTAATTTCCATGGAAGTGGAATCCGGCTGTGTATAAGTAAAAAGCCTATAGAATAATCAAGTTTGTTCCAACAAAAAGAGGGAATTCTGCAATACACACTTGTTTATCAAGCACAGTGTGATTAACAGTGCTGCTGCATTTATCACTGTTCTGTGTGTTTTATTTCTAGCTGAGACATCTCTCTCCAAGTTCAGGACAACAAGAGAGGATACAGTACATAGAAACCAGCTTCCTAGTACCAAAGATCTTCTAGTCTTTCACTATCTGCCCTTTTTTTCCCCTTTCTTCTTCTCATACCCTTCTTTATAGGGATGTATAGGAAGATTTCTCTTCCTTTATGCCTGGACGCGTAACAGGGGAGATCCACACAAGAATCTGCAGTCAGCCTCAGTTACTAATTCTGTATTGTCACCTTTCGTTGTTTCAGAGCATGCTTTTTGTAGAAATACCAGAGTATCGTAACAAGCACATTCGCACAGCTGTGAAGGTGAATTTCTACGTCATCAATGGGAAAAGAAAAAGAAGCCAACCCCAGCATTTTACCTATCACCCAGGTAATTGTCAAGGACAGAGGAAGACTTTCTCTTCTGCTGTGTTGTTTTCTTGCCATCTAAATTTTACTGATTTAATTCAGCTAAGTGCAGCTAAGCACTCAACAACTGTTTGGTTTAAATGATGCATATGATTTATGATCAGGATTTTCCCATAAATTTAAGAAGGCAGTTATCTTGGCAATGGGCTGATGCTGCCCCATTCACTTGATGGAAGTTTGCCAACAGCCTCAGTGGGAGCAGACTCAGTCTGTGACATGATGTGACCCTGCTAAAACCATGAGCGTTGGCTTCCCCAGCTGACGTGTAAGACAGTAAGATAACATCAGATCTGGGAAAGTAACAGGGCCTTGGTATGGAGGAAGACAAGCAATATATATTCTTCAGAATGAGGCTGGTTGAGAAAAATATGAATGCTTTTCTGATGTTCTTCCTCTTGGGAATTGGTGAGCCATGTCACAATAAATGCAATAGGATTACTAATGAGATTCCCAGAATTTCTCAGCTTTGGCTGGGAGAAAAATATTGTGAGAAAATCAGAGTATTGTGTTTGTAGAAACCAGAAAGCATAAAATAGCAGTACCAGATTTTTTGCAAGCTTCAAAATGATGTCTTAATTTGACTGTTTTCTAAGGATGGGCAAACATTTATTCTGATTCATATTTTGGTCTCCTCTGGCCTGAAAATCTCTGGTCCACTCCCTGAATTTATGAACTGTATAGGGTATGTGAAGGTTTTGTATAGTTGCTAAATTGTTCTGCTGTGGAATAGTATTGATAAGTACAATGCTATCTCAATACAATCCCTAAAATAAACCACTTCAGAGAAGGAATTCTTACACTTCCGAAAAATAACCCTGTTGCATGACTACTATATGGTTTCCATTGCATGGTATTTATGTACTGAGTTTTGGGGAAGATTTTACAAAAAAAGCATTACAACTGTGAGAATTTGTCTGTAGAGGGTCATCATTTATCCACAGCAAGATTCACACAACTCTTACTAAATCATGATCTTTTACATGGTGGTGTCAGAAAGGTCTTCAGCTCTCAGCACTGAGGAAGTTACATGCAGCAAAGGAACTAAAAAGAAAGCTCTAAAATAGTTCAGCTCTGCCTTTGGTCACTAGCAAAATGTTTGACAGAAAAATCAGGAGTTGCATATGTCATAGGATTTCTATTTTTTTCAGTCTTCCTTTGGGATGGAAGTACTACATGAAACACCTATCTATGGCTTCTTATTTTGCTTATGTTCCAGAATGGCCGTTAAATGAATTAAAATATGAGCTAAATTATTGACTTTTTCAATTTTTAGAAATTTGTTGTTAAATGGATCATTAAAGGTTTTCAGGAACATATTAGTACAGAGTGCTTCCAAGAGAGACTCTGCCATGATTGCATATACCTGATTTATTAAACTCAATGCCTGAGAGATATAAGCTCACACATGCAAATCTTGTAAACGGCTTAAATCTCTTATTACTTCAAGGAAAACCTCTCCGTTTCTTATCAGCTTGTTACGAATAATGTCCTTTGCATGCTTTATTCTAGTACCATCAATCAAAACAGAGCCCATTGATGACTATGATCCAGCCTTAATCTGCAATACAGTACACAGTGGTCTGGGAACAGTAACACAGCCTTACTATTCACAGCCTACAATGGTCACCGAATCCCCTTCCTGTCTTGTGGCCACTATGGCTCCTTGCCAGCAGTTGCGCTCAGGCCTTTCTTCTCCTGATTCTCGATACCATCAACAGAATCCTGCCGCTGTAATATACCAAAGAAGCAAGAGCCTTAGCCCAAGCCAACTGGGCTACCAGCAATCCAATTTGATGGCTGCACCAGTTGCGATTTCAGATGCCCATAGGTCAGTGCTGGTGCACGCTGGTTCCCCCGGCCAAACTTCAGCGGTGCTCCACCACTCTCCAGGCAACCAGCAGTCTTCTCCAGTGATTCACTATTCTCCAACCAACCAGCAGCTGAGGTGCGGAAGTCACCAAGAATTTCAGCACATCATGTGCTGTGAAAATTTTACGTCCAATGTTGCAAGATCCAGCCAGCCCCAGGTCAGTCAAGCACAAAGGTTAAGTCCAAGTTCATATCCTACCGTGATTCAGCAGCAGGCAGCCTCCGGCCAGCGAGCAGCAAAAAATGGACCACCGGTTAGTGACCAGAAAGAAGTGTTACCAGCTGGAGTCACTATTAAACAGGAACAGAATCTGGACCAAGCATATCTGGATGATGGTAAGCACCGCTCTTTTCTTGTATGGGTTGGTTTGTTGGAGGGAGGAAGTTTAGGACTTATAAATCCCACCTGTTCCTTGGCACAAAGCCAATGTGGCCTCCTTTTGATGGTTGTGGGTATTTGCTGTTTGCTTATGCTGCATTTTGGTCTTTCATCAACTGCATTTTTGGTAGATTGCAATGCACTTTGGCAACTGAGCAAAAAACAGCATTCTGCAGAAACCCTCTGTCTTCCTTCGTGCCATGGAGTGAGCTGTCAGGTTTCAAGCTGTTGCCATTTTGTTTCCATTTGCCAAAGGTTAGTTTGGAAAATGGAGAATCTGAAACAAAATGTACTTTTAAATTATTTTTTTTTATTATTCATATCAGGGCAAAGTCCACTTTATAAAATGCTTTTGTACATTTTGTACCAAAAAAAAAAAAGCCCATTGAACAGTCTATCAAGGCCTGTAATGAATGGGGTAGTGCTGCAGGCAAAACTATTGCAGATGTTCTAGATGAACAGTAGGACATTGATAAGTAAAACAATGCTGTTACTTTGTTGTGAGCCAGCAGATTTAGCCTTTAGAAATGAATATAAGTTAAAGTAAAGCTTTCTTTGAACATATCCTGCTTATTCTTAGGTAGGCAGCTATTGGCAATCTGGTTGATTGGTTCTTTTATTAAAATTTGCTCCTTGCAAGAGGAAATCAATGCGAAGTTAATAGCGCAGCTGGACACTGCAATCATAAAGGCCAGTAGCAAACCCAACATTGATTTTAGTGGGAGCAGAGTGAGGTTGCTGGATATGTTGCAGCAAATATAGGGTGTTCTTATGCATGAAGTACAGACCTGATTTTCGCGTATATTCACGGCTGCTGTCCTCTCAGTCTAGGCAATTGCATGCATGGTTTGATCTTGTGAATGTGCACCATTTTGTGCTTTGTAAGCACCCAGTAGTTTGGGATTTTTACTGTAGTTATTTACTTAGAGTTGTGAAATTGTGCCCATGAAAGTTTTACTTTCTTCAGCATAGGTACTGAGTGCTCTGTGGCTGTATCCTGTACAGTCTTCATTGCTGTTTTTGTGGGCAGAGTTTGGATAGTTCTCTCTGTTAGTCTGTGTTTGAAATGTGGTTGATATAGCTTTGGTGCCATCACAGTAAAATCTGGAGAGTTTTTACTGGTCCCTGCATCTGAAGACGAGTGTTGAATTGGGTTTTAACAGAGAATTTGATTTAGGAGATTTGCTGGATCTGCAAGAAAATTGCTAAGTGAAATCCACTTTCTATTCAGGGAATGGGGCATGATAATAAAGCAAGATCATCTTTCTAATAGTAAAATTGAACACTGTGTTTTAAGATACTTTTAATATGAGAAGCTGAGAGGTTCTTCCATGTTTCTAAAAATACTTGGTACAAACCTTGTAAAAGAAATAAAAAAGAAAGAATTTGAAGTAAAAGCTAGCAAACTTCAGAGTCGAGCCAAAGTCCACTTAAATGAACTCCCAAAATGGGCTGCAAAATTAATTTCACTGGGTTTTGAATCAGGCCAGTAACGTCTAACTGTAGCATAGCTCACAAGGGATGCACTCGACCTCTTTGCTAAGAGGAGCCATTAAGCAGAATAGCCACAAGTTAATAATGAAATTCCTGGCTTCTGCTTGGCTGACTGGATCATCTTGAGTTGATTTCAACTAGGGATTAATTTATCAATTATGATGCCACCCAGCTCAGGTCACATGCAGTCTCTTTACTGACCTCAGTGAGTTTACATTAGCTAGAAGTGTGACTTGGAGAATGGTGATTTACTTTAGGACTTTGCAAAACATTTCATTGTGAAATGTTCAGGACTTGAATTAAAAAGCCACTTTGTTTGCTGCTGGGGAAAAGTGACTCAGAACATAACAAAAGCCATATTTTTCCTAACTAGAAAGTTTATTTTTGTGCTTTATAGTATTAAAAGAAAGCAAACCCAAAGGATTATGGCGGCTTTACCCTCAAATCCCTTTTATCCAGAAAGCTCTTCTGAGATAAAGTGAGCTGTTGGGTCTTGCTGTGATTTTTCACAGATAGATACTGAGATGATGGTTCCCCGGCCAGGCTTGGCATGAGTGCGCTGCACTGCCGCTGATGCACAGACTCTTAAGCAACCACTGTTTTAGTGTCTCTCGCTTCCCTTCTCTCTTCTTTCCTTCCCCCATCTTCCTCCTCCCTCTTCTTTGTTCTTCTTTGTTCTTTCTCCATATTTCTGCTGACAGTCCAGCTTTCGTCCCTTTCTACAGTTGTGACCTCCTCTTGTCAACTCTTGTCCTCTGCCTTCGCGGTTAATGCTCAGCCTTGGTGTTCTGGACTTTGCTTCTATTCTGAGCTTTGCCACGAACTTCTTGAGTGACCTGGGACAAGCCCCGCTCGGTTCCTCATTCCTGAAGTTGTTGCCTCTCAGAGTGGGTATGCTGTCTTGGTCTTTGAGCTCTCCTGGAAGTGATGAGAGAAGAACATCTCATAGCTAACACAATTGCTATTTCTCTTTACCTCTTCCAGCTTCCTGCTGCCACTGCTCACAGGACCCTTCATTATTTTCTTATCTTTCCTGCTGTAAAAAAAAAAAAATTGTCCTTTTTCCTGAGATCATGGTTTGTTCTTTGCTCAGAGCCTTCACTGCTCCACAGGGCATATAATACTGGGGACTTAGCACACCTAACCTGTCTTTACCTCCTGCCTTGTAAAGATAAGAGCTGGTTCCACCTCCGCAGGATTACAATCAAATATGTGACCATAGATCACAAAGCTGTAAGCTCTCGAGGTTGAATAGCACCAGCAGTGTAGCCAAAACAGCGTGGACCTTAAGGCATGTGATGGCAAGTATTTAGCTGTATTCTCAGGTGGGTTTTGCCATGTGCAAGGAACTCTGGGCAGTAGCTGCACAACTGGTACCATCCATGCTGGCTGCCATAATGGTAACTTTAGCACGTCTGTTGCTCATTTCTGACCATACTGCAGATGTAGAGACCTGCCATGTGCTTTCTTGGAAGGAGACATTGGCCCCTATTCTCCTCGTACTGGTGCTACCTCAGAGCAAGAAGTGTCCAGCCCAGCCTTTGCAGCCACCTTGTAACTTCTCAGCTTTCCCCTCCCAGACAGAATTATGAAATGTGTGGTTACTGGAAGGAAGGCTGTACCTATCAAGTCATATAGGTTGGATTTGGAAATTAGGGAGACAGATGCAAGTTAGACATTGCCACACATATGTATACCTTCATATGCATATTCCTTTATACACCTCCATATTTCTCTGTCAAAAAAAAGTAACTTGTTGATATCAAATAGCATAAAGGGGAAGGGAGTATTCATGAAAAATTGGCTGAGAAACCTTTGTTACAGACCTCTGCCTCAGAGATTCATTACTGTTGGAAATACTTTGGGACTGAAGATAAGCCATGGTCAGGAGATCCTTCAGGACCCGTCTGGTGTCCAGGCTAATGCTGGCAAGCAATGATTAGCTTCAAATACAAATGAAAGCCATAGGATGAGAGAGTGCTCGGCACGTTTCAGCCAAGGCCTCGTCTTAATATTGTTCATAACCAAAACCACCAACAATGGTAAAAGTTACACAAACAACCACAGAAATATGTTGACAAATAGAACTGAGTTCTTCCAGGACCTTCAGAGCAATCAGATTAGCTATTTAAAGCACAAACCAAGCTAAAAACTTAGTTGTTTGCAGCACTATCCAAAATCACTTGGTGGGGCAGGATCAAGAGAGAGGGTGACCCAGGGCTCGGGGCACTGGTCATGCCCTGGACTGCCCATGCTCATGCTGCAGAGCCAGAGGTTTCCTGCATAGCCCTGGAGAAGCCACCCAGCTGCCATGTGCCACAGTTCCCCATCTGCGATGCAGAGATATGAGGATCGTGTGACAAGAGCAATAGGAGGATAAATGCATCACAGACTCTAAAGCACTCAGATGTGACATGATCTAGAAGTGCCTCATGGAGATTGAGTGTCAAGTATGGTGTCGGGCTCTTTCTGTATACAAATAATGGATGTGTAGCTGTTGTCTTGAATGTTATCAACTTGCCTGCCTTAGATTTAGCTCTTCTTTTTGGTTCAGCTGTCATCTTGTGTGCTTTTTACTTTGCAAAGAAAAATGATTGTCATTATTCAAATAGTAACTATCTAACCACATCTGACACTGAGAACCGCCTGCTTGATACAGTAGCTCTAAATTATTTTTGGTGCACCAGTAATCTTTAATGGGGAGGAGAAAAGCAAGGCAGATGCTTGTGTAGTGGTTTATCAGACCGCCGATCAGCAGAGATGTTTTGTAGTGAACTCATGTATTTCACAGAAAATTTCAGATGCAGCAGATACTTCTTTAGAAAATGGATCTGCAAGATGTGCAACGTGGTGCTTCTAAATCACCCAGCACTTTCGATCACCTTCGCTATGAGCAATGTGTTAATTTGTGCAGTTTTGCTCCCCACCACAGTAACCATTGCCCTAAGCACAGTTCTCATCCAAGACCACTTGCAGTGTGTTAGGTCCCTACCTTTCCTTTTTGTGTTCTTTCATTCAACAACAAGAAAATCCACAGTCTGTCCCCACAGTGGCATGAAATGAAATCCAAATCCTTTCTTTCCTCCATGTTCAGGAAGAATCTTTCTTTACTAACCAGCTTTTTGTTCCATAGGCCGGTAGCTGTTAGGCACAAGCCTGAGCAGGGTGTAGCTCCAGGAAACCCCGGGTCTCCTGGGGACCCAAGAAGCAAAGCTACTGTGTCAGCCCTGAGTAAGCGGCAGCCCGGGACTGAGCTCTTTCCTGCCGGCTTTGGTCTCTCGCCGCCCTCCCCGCAGTGCGTAGCCCACTCTGCATCTGCGCTGGTCCCGTGTGCTCCTCGGGGAGACCAGTGTGCGTGTGTGGATGAGAGGAGGGGGTCAGTACAGCCAGGAGGGAAGGCAGGACACGGCCTCCCCCCTTGCAGCCGCCGCCATGCTCCTTAGGGCTTTGGCTCGGGTGCTAGCACGTTGCGAGCATCCTGCTCGCCTTCCCCAGCCCCTGCACGGCGGATGGAGGAGGGGGTGGCACGAAGCCAGCTCTGTCAGCTTGCTGCCAGCTGGGGATTTCCCTGTGCTGGGGGAACCTCAGCTGCACGGTGAAGGCAGTTTTAAGCCCTCCATGCATTAGAGCAGTGGAGCCACCCTAGCAAGGGCTGGGGGTCCAGCCGCCTGCCTGGCTGCACAGAGGCTGCTTTTCTCTCTGAATGCTGTAGTGATTTCATCCCCAGAAAGCACAGAAGGTGGTGGCTTTAGGAGCATGTTTTAGTTTGGTTTGTAGTTGTTTTCATCATGTGTCCGTGCACAGAGTAAAATAGCAATGCAGAGCAAAGGGGGAAATGTTCCTGTTTCCTGGCATTTTAGACAGGAGTGAATTTGAATGTTGCAAATGGGCTGTGGTTCAGTTAGAGCAACAATTTGCATCAAAAAAAAGCCATGCTCTGTTTTTAATTAGAACTACTTTTCATAGAAGGTGTGGTCATTTCTGCTCAGGCAGAGTTTGACTAAGAGTGAAGCATGTACATTCTCCAAAACATTTCGCTCAAACACTCTAGCAAATCTATGTATTCATCAGACTCATTCTTGAAGCTCTGACTCACTTTATTCCAGATTTTCTGTTCTCTGTTGGGACCTTACAGCACTCCGTACGTACACTACATGCTTTATTTTTGGATCCCTGCTATTGCATGTTTGTCACATTAGGACCTAAGTGCCCTAGTATATGCCAGAGTCTTGCTTTTCTAGATGCAATATGAAAAGAGAACAAAAAGC